GGGCTACCACCTAGGCGTGCTCATCGTCGCACGTTAGCGCAACACACAGATCACGGTAGTTTAGCGGGTAAACACGTCCGCATTGTTGAGCGTGAAAGTTCTTTGCACTGGTCTTCGTTTAAGCAATGGCAGGAAATTACTGACAACGCTGTTGCTCAACAGACCAGCTTGACCCCGCGAAATGTGTATTTGTTCGTCCCCACTTCCATCGAACCTTTGTAATCCGTATATTTTCAAGTATACGAAAATTCTGTTTGCCAATTTATCTTCTTTCCGCACAGTTTGTCGGGTAGAAACAGCCTGGATATCTGTGCAGATCGGACGTAAGGCATGCTCAACGGGCACCAGAAAGTGCACTTGGACCGCTCACGATCGGTATGCACATGTGAGATGCACATTTATGCGAGATCTGAACATGTTTCGCCCGTGAAAATTTCACTCAAGGCCTTCTGGCCAGACAATCTGCACTTTTATGGCTTGTGGGCACCGTAACACATTATGTTAATTTCGCGGGATCAATGAGTTTGCTTCTCATGTTCAACAAATCGGCTGAATAAACTGTAATTTGCACAGTATCTGTTAGATGACAGCCAATGGGCGCAGTCGTCAGTATGGTAATGGTCCCACACTACTAAATTAGGAAACAAAGCAAAACTTCGCTGAGTACCCTCGCAACCGAATCACGAGGCAGCGCCGTATGCGAAACAATATCAGAAATCTCATTGAATCTGCAGTTCCATGAGGTTCACCATACATATGAGGTGAAAAGTAAAAATTCGGCCAAATTGCACTTCAAGTCGGGGATCAATTGTTTCAGATTCTGGCGTTTACGCCTGCCCGATGAGCACCAAACAGAGTGAGACCGGGAACCAGTCGGAAGAATTCCCGTTGGAACGTGTAGTCCGCCTTTATGTCCACATCTAAGGTGAAAAGTCAATCCGTGCGAAACTTGTCTGGGAAACAGCGTAAGTACACACCTAAACATAACCAGCCAAAGTGTATTTTCGCACTCAAGGCCCTGAACATTTATTATCGATATACCTCTGCCAAATCCGGCCGTTTCGTCTGATTGCATTTTGCAATCAGCTGCACTTGTTCATTAGAACGAAACACTTGATACACGTAACTCTCAGTCGGTCGAGACTGGTGTTGGGGTGCCTAAAAATCTAATCTCAGTTTTTAAATGTATCGGTCAGATCCGCATTGCTGGTAGCGACTTTTCGCCTTTTGTCCCATTGGCTCACTGCAGTGACGTGACCTTGAGTGAACACCGCACTTGGGTCAGGCGGGTCGACTTCTGCTGATTCCACTTCGCTGATCGGTACTCAACATCACTTGGCTCACGTGACTACCGTTGATCTATTGGAGTCACCAAAACGGAACGAATCGAAGTTTACCATCTGTGTGCTGGGTTTCCCAAGATAGGTGGGCACTAGCGACGCTGCCGCTCGGCTTTGTGTGGGACTGTTCACTAAAGCCGAGTGGGTTAGATGCAAATATTTTTTCACTTGGTTTCTTTTCTCGAGGATGAGCTGTGATGCTTTCTACCCGCTAACTGATTGACTGATTGACTGACTGAAGTTGTTAAGGCTGACTGTCGATGTCAGTCATCTTTGGCCAGCTTGGCTGACGAAAACAATCCAGGGTAAATGATCTATAAATTTCATTTGTCTGGCATGACCAGGTCACAACAGATATTTAGTAAGTGAATTTGGTTTTAACGGGGGACTCAATCGGATCCCAGCTGAATCTGTCGGTAACGATTCGTTCGACTGAATGTGCGGCCTAAAGAACGCCTCATGTTTCAGTCGGTACGATATTCGATTTGTCCCGGTTGAGTTACCACCAAATTAGTTTGTAACTGAGTGTAGTTGACCACTTGCGTAACATTTGACGTTCAAGTAAGACATTAGACTGATGGAAACCCAAGGATTGCGTCTATCTATTGAGCCCCAAGCAAGATGAAACGGGTCGTGGGATGCCAAATGATTTTAAGCAACCTAATGAGTAATGTGTTCGTTCAAAAAAAAAACAGCTCGCAAACCACATGCACGTCCCAATTCCCTGGTTTGTTTAAGTGAACAACATCAGTAAAAAAGTCATGTGTGCAAACTTCTGCAATATCACCACGCTTTTCTCCGTAATTGTTTTTTACAATAGTTTCATTACCCTAGATAGAAAATATGCTAAGAAGCAAGTTAAAGTTCATCCGGTATAAGCGGCCTATGGGTGGGACGAAATCCCGCTTACCTTGCGGTCAGTTTGAAAAAGAAATCAATACTGACCTCTCACGGTTTACAGGATTTGGTTGCAGCAGTTGAAATACAATCAATGCAAATGCTTAATCCCTTGAACTGGAGTTGGTATGGTGTCAGTTCGCGTACAGATTATCGTAGAACACGTTCTGAAGACAGGTAGATTGAGCGCCATATTATTGAGGTCATTTTTTAAATCACCTCAACCCCTCTAAAGTTGAGGTCTTCAAATTTTGGACGGTAGCTAGCCAAAGCAACAGAACCTTCGAAATTAAATTCCCGGATAGGAATCAGACACAAAGCAAACGTGAAATATGCAGTGAAGGTCCAGAAGAGTTTAGGGCGATAATATGGACCAATTGCCAGTCAGATCAGAAGTTGTTTTAAACAGTGAAGCATTAGCTCCAAAGTCACGTATGCTTTTTGATTGAACGTGAGTAGCATTTACCATTGATTTATTCCCATAAGATGAGCTGGTTGAAGGCTCAATTTACTCCCCTAAAATCGCATTTGGTTCATCACAGTTGGGGCTTGGGAAAGGAAAAAAATGACAACAAGGACGTTCGAATGGGTGACAGGAATGTTAAAACCGAACCGGGGCCGCCAGAGACTACTACTCATAATGTGGTGAAATATTGGTAGCTCGGGTGAGTTTATTAGTTGTTGATCAGCTGGCTGTTGATCTGTTCGCCGAGCTTGGCAATTGGCTTGCAAACGTTTCGTCACCATACGAGGA